TGAACAGAAGAGATGATTCCACCAGGCTGTCAATCATTTGGAAGCCTGCACTCACAAACAAAAAAATCTCCACACCACAAGCCAGGCAAACACCTGGGCACAAACAGATCCCCCCTGATACCTCCAGCTCAAACACACCCCAACCAGGCACCCAGATGAAACCCAGCTTCCTAACTAATGATAGCCGTCCATTTACCCGAAGCCAAGCTGCACTAAAGGCCTCCATTAAAGTAACACAATGCTGCCAGCCAATCAAGATACAAAAAGAGCCAAAAAACAGACAGAAGATATCAGAGACACCCATCAAGCAGAACACAGCAAACTCCGAGACCAATAAACACAGACCAAGACTCCCAACCAATCAGGATGAAGAAAAAACCATTCTGGCACAGCAATAGGCTGCCCCAAATTTAAATCTGAAACCACTGTAAAAGTCTGACCCACAGACGGACACAATACAGAAGCCTGATGATGGCAGATGAGATTCTGCTGAAACGTTGCTACAACTTTAAAAGAACTACAATGACGTGGGAAAATACCCGAACCAAGCCGAACACCATACATGTAAGTACCCGCGAAAACTTAAGAAAACATATATATATACACACACACTATATGTATATGTATGTATATGTGTGTGTGTGTGTGTGTGTGTGTATTTCCTTTGTGCACTCTCTCTCTCTGTGTGTGTGTGTATGCATGTGTATGTGTGTATGTATGTATGTATGTATGTATGTATGTATGTATTTAAAAAAGCACACAAAGGAAGTATCACTAGCAATCAATGGCAGTGGAAGCCATAGAGTTAAAAATAGGCAGTAAAAAGTGATGAGCTAATCCAAAGTATCTCCAGAATTGTTTCCATAAAAAGGTTCAAAGCAGACAAACTTTAAAAATGCTAACTTAAATTATAGAAAAAAATAGAAAAGCAAAGTTTGACTTCATTTATTTGTCTGTTTTATTGATTGCTTTTTATTGCCATTCATCTCAACAAATAACTCTGTCAGAGTATCTTATTTATATTCTTTGTTACAGAGTTATGAACTGCTGCCTAAATTATATGGATTTCTAATTTAAAGATAAATGCATTATATAGGCACTTGGTCTCTTCCAAAGTTTTGACAATTTAGCAACTTTAATCGGGAATTTTAATTCAGGACCTTTATTTATGAAATCTTCTGTTACTATGTATAGTATATGGTTGTATTTCTTACCAAGGTTGATGGGAAATTTTGAACTGACATAAATGTATATGGTTGAGGTCTTCTGAGATTTCACACAGGATCTTTTTACGTGTATGCTGAAATAAAAATTCCCATTTCCTTTAATGTATTTTTGTGGAATGTTTACATGCTGGGAAGCATCACAGAAGAATATTTCCTATTCTCATGTCAAAAATAATCTTACAGTGGAAGAAACTGGAAATGTTAAGTCATAAGGAAAAAGCAGACATCCAAGTTTTGTGAAGTATTCACATTTTGTCTGGAGGTAGTAGAGTGGTTTTGTCTGGCCAGTATCAGAGACATAAACTAAATTTATTGAACAAAAAAGTTGATCTATTTTGTATGCCGAATCAACTCAACCCAATTTACTATAGAAGAAAACTGGAAAAACAGAGATACCGTAATACCTTTGAAACTCATTGAATTTGGTATTCAACAATTTTGATACAAACATTTTATCCTGGTATTCATCATTTGTTTGATACTCAACACACAAGTTAGAACATACTAGTGTCAACTGCCTTGTGACTTACTACATTATCCCTTATGGAAAAAGAATTGTTTGGTACTCATTGGTTTTGGTATTCATCACACCTCCCAGAACCAATTATCAATGAATATTGGGTACCACTGTATTAGAATTGATTTTCTAACATGTTAAGAACATTAACCTGAAGTTTCAGAGTGTTCAAGATTTTGGTACCTTAATATTTTGTAAGACAAAGTATAAACAATAAAGTGAAAATACTTTGAATATCAGAATGCCATTTTGGTTTTGATTTAAAAGATCTTTCAGCTACAAGTATCCTTGAAATCACTAAAATAATATTAAACTCAATAATTATTTTGGCAAGACTATAGAATCATTTGCAATTTTCTGTGAGACTTATTCCATTGAAAGATACAAAGAGATAAAATCCAATGTAAAATCCCCCTTCTATAATTAATCAAGTTCAATTTTTTTTGTAAAATATGTATATGACCAACCTAGGCATTTCCATTTTTCAAAAGTAAACTGTATACTCTGCCATATTAAAATTACATGTATTTATCTTCAGAATAGGCTTTTAGAAGACACCAAACCTAAAGAGCTAAAAAATGCCATTCACTTAAAATTGTAAAATTTCAGTAAAAACTGTACAGGATCAAATACTGAAAACATATGTGACTTTGTCCCCCTCCCCTCCATAATTATGGGTCTCACCAACAGTATGTAAGTAGATGCCTAAGATGTCAAACATGTTGCAATAACTTTGGGCTTTTTTAGCTCCAAAGGTACTGACATATTGCAACTTTAGCACAAATCTTATAGTGAGCTTAATTTGATTATTTTGCAGTCCATGCACCTTGGAATTGTTTCAGTCAAGAGAAGTTCCTCCTATTACATTCTCAATGTTATTTTCTGATCTGAGATTGGACCACTGTCAGTATAGGCAAGAATCCAGATCACAAACTTTAATTATTAGTTAACCTGAATTGAATAACCATGGGCTTGGCTCCTCTTGTGTTAATAGGTTCCTGACACTCTCTTTGGAATCATCTCTTAAAAGTCTGGGTTCCAAATGTGTAAGAATAGAGAACACCAACTGGATGTGCTATGTGTGCCAACATTTGGAAAGAAGACATTGTTCTCTGAAACTAGCAAATCAATCCCCAATTATAGAAGGGGCTTCGTACTAACAAGTGGAAAGAACCCTTTGCCCTCCTGCTAGTATCCTGAAAAATGAATGGAAAAACCAACCTAGCTTGAGAGTTTTGCTCTTGAAGCTTCAAGAATGTTTAATTAATGGTCTGTTATTCTCTATAGTTTATAAAGATATACAGCATTCTTTCATTGCCCTGCCTCCTAAAACCAGCATGATTATTGCAAGCCCTCTTTAGGAAGGAAGAAAGGGAGGAAGGAAGGAAGGAAGGAAGGAAGGAAGGGGAAGGGAAGGGAAAAGAAGGAAGGAAGGAAGGAAGGAAGGAAGGAAGGAAGGAAGGAAGGAAGGAAGGAAGGAAGGAAGGAAGGGAAGGTGAAGGAAGGAAGGGAAGGGAAGGGAAGGGAAGGGAAGGGAAGGGAAGGGAAGGGAAGGGAAGGGAAAAGAAAGAAAGAAGGAAGGAAGGAAGGGAAGGGGAAGGAAGGGAAGGGAAAAGAAGGGAAGGGAAAAGAAGGAAGGAAGATTGTGTAAAACTGTATAAATCAGAGAAGAAAAATGAATTGCTGCCCCTTGATAAGTACAAAGCAGTTATCATAATATTCATTCATTCATTTAGCTGCATCCTGCCTTTATTATTTTTACAAATAACTCATGGCAGCGAACATGTCCAACACATTAATATGTTTTAACTGTGAACATGAGATTAGTTTGTTTTGTAATTTTACATTTGGATGAAATTTTTTATTTATTTACAAGTAGTCCTTGACTTACAACAATTTAATTGGTGATTGTTCAATGTTACAATGGCACTGAAAAAAATGACTTATGACCATTTTTCACACTTATGATCGTTTCAGCATCCTCATGGTCATGTGATAAAAATTCAGCCGCTTGGCAACTGGTTCATACTTATGATGGTTGCAGTTTTCTAGGGTCATGTGATCACCTTTTGCAACCTTCTGACAAACAGTCAATGGAAAAATCAGATTCATTTAACAACTATGTTACTAACTGAACAACTACAGTGATTCACTTAACAACTGTGGCAGAAAGGTTGTAAAATGGGACAAAACCACTTAACAAATGTCTTGCTTAGCAACATAAATTTTGGTCTCAATTGTGATCCTAAGTCAAGGATTACCTGTATTTCATATTATGTAGATTTTGTGTGATTTGATAATTGAATAAAATGAAACAATTAACTAATATTTAATGCAATTCTCCAGAAGTAAGAGAGTACTGTACCTCTCTTTCTGTGATCCCAATTATGAATAAAATTATAACAGTGACCTTATAGATGACAATCGGAGGTGGTATTCAGCAGATTCTGACCAGTTCTGGAGAAACGGTAGTGGAACTTTTGAGTAGTTCAGAGAACCAGCAAATACTACCTCTGACTGGCCCATCCCCATCTATTCTCTGCCTCCCAAGTCCCAGCTGATCAGCTGGGTCTTCTTTTGTTGCCCTGCACAGGAGAATGGAGCCAGAAAGCAGGTTAGTGGGGTGGGGAGGGAATGGGATTTTGCAGTATTCTTCCTCTGCCACGCCCACCAAGCCACACCCACAGAACCAGTAGTTTTGAATCCCACCACTAACAACAATGCTTTATATGATAAAATTACAAGGAGCTGACTTTTAAGGCAAACCCCTTTCCAATTAAAATAGCTTTTTAATGAAAATTCTGCAACTTGCAGAAAGACTGAGCCCTCAGAACTTCTTAATAACTTTCTTTCCACTACCCCGAGACTTTCTTACTTCTGTTTTCCCTCAATCCCAGAATGCTGTAGTATGTCATATTTAATTATTCATGGTGGAACGAACTAAAACCAGAGGATTTTTTTAATGGCCTATATACACATATATAAACACATGCTGAGAATTAAAATAATTGATTAATTTGCCACCTAGGAGATTGCAACAACAATTGAAGATTTGTTTTTCTTTCTTGATTATATCTTAAATATAAGGCTAAAAAGTGCTATGTAAATAATAACAAAATAACCAGAGTTGTATATAACAAAAAGGTTAGGCAATGAACATCTGGTTGTGGACTGTCAATCACTGGGTATAAACTTCCCAACCACATGTGCGCATAGACCTGATAGGTCAGCATGAGATAGAAAGTTGAGACATTTACCTCTTCACAGACAGTATCAGTTGATCCAGACAAGCTTTGATCTTGTTTTGTGCTTCTAAATGTGTCATGGTTTCTGTGCTGTCACCATTGATTGACAAAATGACATCACCTGGGCAAAGGTTAGCAAGAGCAGCTTTACTTCCCGGATTTATCTATAGGATAAAAAGAAAGAAATATTAGAAACTAAGCTATTTTGATTGTGTGAAACTCAGATCTGTCCCTGAAAGGGCAAACATATGGAAGTGGGAGATATTCTAAAATCCCAGTGAGCTATCCTGTAGTTTTTGTTGCTGTTGTTGTTGCCTGAGTCAGTATTGACTCCTGGCAACTGCCTGAACAAGTCCCTGCAATTTTCTTGGCAAGATTTCAGAAATGATTTGCTATTGCCTTCTTCTTCCTAGGTTGAGGGCGACTGGCCCAAGGTCAGCCAGCTGGCTTTGTGCCTAAGGTGGGACTAGAACTCACAGGCTCCTGGCTTCTAGCCTGGTGACTTAAGCCCTAGTGTACATCAAACTTGGCTTTCTCCTGTCTATTAGTGGCTCTAAACACTACATCCTAGCTAGTGCATGTAGTTGGCAGTTAAAGAGAATGTGATGATATTTTCTACCTCTGAGTATGGCGAAATTACCCATATTTTATCAAGCACTGCTGAAGTTAAGAGTAGAGTATAAATATAATCCATTAATTTGCAAAACTGAGTAACTAAGTTGGAAACAAAGCCACAAAATAATATACATTAAATATACCGGTATTATCTCAATATATTTGAAAAATATAACTTTTTTTCCAGAAAATAAACTTATTTTGGGGCCTGACTTCTCTGAGAATTGGGGTACTCAGTAAGTAATTCAAGCACAATAATTCTTGGAAAATAGTGTAAAATTATACAATTATCGAAAAATGCTAACACTAAATTCCTAAAGCTCTAAGCTGAACTGGTAGGAGAGTACTGGTAATAGAAAACAGCACCATGAAAGCCTTTTTCAGAATTTATGAATAATTAATATTTTTTCCTCTCAGTTTCCCCAAAGACAGATGTCTGAAATTCAGATTTCACACCATGACCAGTGATTCATACCTAAAGCAAATTATTTTGTGGCTTTGTTTCCAACTTAGTTGCTTAGTTTTTCAAATTATGCTTTGGAAATATTTGTTAAAGATGCCAGTATGACTTATTCAACAAATTATGATTTCTGGTTTAATGTGTACATGAATGAAATTCATATATAATTCATATATATGAAATTCATATTTCATAGTGATAAAGTACCTTTGTTTTTCAATAGGCAGATCAATATTAAGTATGTAAATATTCTTCATATTTTCTAAATGTTTGCCCTTCCAGAAACCAAATCTGATTTTTGTATCTGTAACTTAATAAAAACAATTCTTGAGAACTGATTACAATTCCGAAATCAACATTTTTAACTCAAAGTTCAATAAGTTCTAAAATGTGGCTATAAATATATTTGATTTTTGGAAATCACTAGCCTTTAATCCCAAGTTTCAATGCATCATGACATGGATCAGTTCTTTGATACCAAGCAATAAATGGTAAAATATTTCTGCAATTAAAAGAAGCAGCCAACATTATGGAAACCATACTAATAGCTTCCTGTTGAGGTGTTATCTTCCCCAACAGCTTTGCTTGGATAGTACTCAAATAGCTTGTCACTTGCCAGTCATGCATGAAATATCATGCTGTTTATTAAACTCTACAGCATTTTCCCTGGTGTTTTGTCTTAATGCCAAGATCTTACAAAGACTGTTACTTTGTTTAAATGTGACTAATGGTAGATCCTAGCAATATTTGTAGTTCAAGTAAAATACATTTTTAAAAAAATCCTTCAGTAAGCATCAATTACACTGGTATTAAAAAAATTGAGTTCCACATATACAGCTGACTTTAACAATAAATCAGTGGCTAGTAAATATATGAATATATTGATTTACCTCTGCAACCTAATATCCTCCAAGACATTTGGGACTGTATACTCAGCATGCTGACTGGAGAATTCTGGGACTAGAAGTTCACATATCTTTAAGTTGCTAAGGTTGAAAAACACTGCTGTAGCTCATGTAATTTTTAATTGGAGAGGAGTAAGTTGGCAATGGCAACATTTATTACAGAAGTTTCCTCAATACTCCTTCACAACTTCTGTTATTACTTCTAGACTCTAGATAGTTGGCATTATCTAATGAGAAAATGTTCTGATGGTTTTTAATCATATCTGTCCCATTAAATATAATATTTTATTGCAGCTACAATCATTTCTCAATGTGTGTTTAATATGTAAATACTTTTCATCATCTCCAGTTTTTTTTAATAAAGAACATGTTGCTTCATGAGGATCAGAGATAAAGATATTTCCTCAGTATATACTATTTATTTTCCATCAAGGCACAGAAAGAGCTTTCTTTTTCAATAAACAAACAAAAAAGAGAATTTTCCAAGTCATTAGTCGCTTTCAGAATCTGATAGGACATAGTACCTGGGTGTGATTTTTCTCTTTTGATTTTCTTTATTAAGTCGAATAATATTATATTGAGAATAGTAATATAGTGAACCCAATATTATAGCTGAAAGACTGTAAAATTCTTGACACAAATCCATTCTATACCAGATCTACCATTTCTGGGCTGCAAAGATTTACCTGACAACAAATTAAAAAAACTAAAATTCTCTTCTATTATCTTGAACTCATTCAGATTTTTGTAGCAAACAAAGTAGCCATATCTAATCTGAGCTCCAAACTTATGAAGAGGCCCAACTTAAGCTCCTTTGTAAAATAACCTGTTAATTTATTATTAATTTTAATTTAACTAATATGTTCATTATGACACATGTTACACTTCTACTACTCTTCTGTTAACCTATCCAGTTTAGGGTGACCACATTTAGGCTATAAAAATCAACAAACAAAAGGAGCAAAGAAAGTTGTCTGTATCTCTGCCATCCATTATTTGTCTAAATTTGGTTTATGACATGGTAGCCCTTGACAACAACAAGAACTTTATGGCCTTTGGGTATGCGTGGTTAATTCCTAAAGATTTGTCTCTTTCTGCAACACTGAACTTCTCCCAAATGCTTCTTGACCCTCTTTTTTTCTTAGCAGTCTTGATTGATTAAATAGTCTTGATAAAATGCAAGATTTTAATTTATGTAAGATTATTCTAGAACTGCTCTATAAATATATCCCTAATTCATTTCATTCAGATTAGTGGATTTAGTTACACTCTCCCATGGCAATTCCCATACCCAAACAATAAAATTGCTTTGCAATGTGATAAAGAAAATCCAAGTTTTCTAGTTTGGTTTGGAAGATGTGCATAGTTTCAAGTATAAGTCCTTCCAAGGTATCTATTTGCAGCTCATAAATCATTTTCTTTCCTGAAGCTGTCCTCTGTCCCAATAAGGTAAAGACTCCAAGAGTTTGAATGAAAACTGTTTTTATTTTTTGCCTTCAGATGGGATGTGTCTGATTACTTAACAAGATTATATAGTTATTTGACAGGAAATTTGGGCAAGCTATTTATTCTGATTTTGAGATAATCTCTTATACACCTTTTTTTTAAATGCATAGGAAGGGAGGAGGTATTAAATAAACGGTACTACCCATTTCTAAATTACTAGATTTTAATAACTACATAATCTGCCCTTTTAGGTAGACCAGTTGAAGAAATAAGTTACTCCAAGACTACTGGAATTCTGTTACTTGAATGTCTCACAGAATTTCCCTATTATACCAAAGAGAGTCAAGGCATAGTTATCTTGAGTTACTTTCTCATTCTCTCTTCCTTCCCAGGGCTATGTGGAGGTTTAGCTAACCATTCTTGTGTTTCTTCTGTAGTGTTCCATATGCTTCTTGGTAGCTAAGCCAGCCTTTGTTATAATATGCTTAAACAAAGCAAAAAAGAAAATATGAAAAAGCTTATTTAGTTCAATGTTGTTTCTATTAAGACCTGGCAGTAGCTTCATACAGACAAAAGATAAAAACATATTACTTTTAAAAAATTATACAACTACGTTGAATTAAAGCAGCCTTGCTAGAAATTGGGAAAACTGACACCATCAATTAGGGGAAAGCTGAATCAAAACAACATTGTACATATTGTGGTCAATAATACTCATGGATAATATTCAATTATATGTCACCTTTACAAACAATAGCTGAATTGTTTTGGCAAACATGTGAATTAATGTCTTTTGGGGGGGGAATGAAAAGCCACTCCTGTCTTCGAAAAGAACATTTAAATTGACCTTTTTACATAATATGAATGAAGTACAGAATACCTTAGATATTCCAGTTTATTTTTTTTGGCAGGACTGGAATATTTTCCAAAGTTTAAAACTTTCTATTGTGTTTGTAAAAGCTGAAACGAAGTAACAGCATTCAAGAGATAATGTTACTCTTGTTTCTGGGTTGCTAAAGTTGATGCCTTCATCCAAGGTTGTCTCCTTTTTCTATGTTTGCATGATTTCTATATTCAGATTGATAACTGACATTATGAATGGAAAAAGAACAGTATATTCAGAGTTAGCCTGTTTTATAACCTGAATATAATATATTTCATGTAATCTTGCCTCAGTCATGAGTTCAGTTGTGGTGGCTTAAGCAGGAAGGCTGTTTCTCTTATCTTCATATTTTGATTCATTTAATCATAGTGATTTTTGTACAGTATTTTTGTAACCATGACCCCCAACACTTTCCCTGTTAATTATTGTTTCGAGCAACCAGGAACAAAAGGATAATAAGAGTAATGCATGTTCTTTTAACACCATACAAGAGAATTACACACAGTGCCATTTAACCTAGTTTAATTGAAAAAATGGGCTTTTTGTAAGTTTCCCAGGAATGGGAATTTTGAAGATATGCAATATAGGCTTATACACATCGCTCAGTTAGGCAATCCATGACCTAAAATTGTCCAGATCCAGGATCCTTTGGAAATATATGCAATCCTAAAGCATCCCCATTTTCAGGTGGATGATGAAGTAGTTTATCTCTTGGGGTCTCTTTTATTTTACACTTAGCCTTTACAAAAATGTTTTTGATTATCATATTAATCAAATTCAAGTATTTAACTTTTGCCCTTATAAAACTATTTCTGAATTACTGTTCAATTCTGAAAAGAATCTCACAGTAACTTG